ACCAGTTGCTTCTTCATTTCAGATCATGAATACTCATTTACAGCATGTTCGCCAGCGTCTTCAAATGGTAGAATTGGATCGTTCATGGAATTTGAGTGGTTATGAGATAGACGGTTTGGAATTAATCCTCATTTCAGTTTAGATGCAGGGTTGTTCGACCTCGACCAGAAGATGAATAGGAGCAGCAAAATACCAGAAAGAGAAAGTATGTGAACATGAAAAGGACATAATATTTATGCATTATAAATGTTTATGTCAATGTATATTATATTTAGTAAACATTTTTCTATATTGTATTGTGTTTTCACGTATTTATGCGAAGTCTTAGAGTTTATTTAGTGTCATAATGTGTATTAATGAGTCTGAGCGTTTTAGTGTTCTAATGACTGATGCGTTTTAGAAATAAGTGATGGGTTCTGGTAGGGATAGTCATTGGACAAAAGTTTATATAGCAAGCGTTTGAAGGTTACAATGAGTGACAGGTCCTATTTCTAAGGGTAAACTAATCCTGTATGTTCCGTACTAAGTCTTTATGCATCCATGCTGCTAGTTTATTTATAGTTTTTAGATTGCTAAGGGTGTTGAAGTGCGTCTTTTAGGTGCTGTAGTAGATTAGTGCTTGATTCGTTCTAGGAGTAAATAGTTTATTAATATAATCAGTAGAGTGAAACAGTCTGTATAGAGAGCGTTTGAAGCTTGTAACCGAAGAGCAAGTTCTGACATCTAGGGGTAGGCTATTCCATATTTTAGAATACATGACTGTGAAGAAGTTTTCACGGAGTGTTGACTTAAAAGAATGAGTTGTCACTGTGGAAGTTTGGTTACGCAGATCGTAAGAACCTTCCTGTGCGAATTGTATGTCCCTGTTACCTGAGAATGATATTTTGTGAAGGACCTTAAAGAAGAATATTAGGTTTATAATAAGTCGCCTTGTCCAAAGTGGGTCGAGTTTTAGGATCATGCACCGTGAGATGTAGTCTTTCTTACAATCGTAGCCAAGTAGTTTTGAGGTAAAATATCGTTGGATACTTTCCATCCTTAGCTTGTCGCGTGTGCGAGTGCTGCTTATAATAAATGGACAGTATTCTAGTAGTGGTCTGACACATGTTTTGTACAGAATTAGCTTGGCTTCATTGTCGTGAAAGTTCCTGAGTATGCATCCTAAGAGCATCCTCGATTTTCTAGTCTGTGATGCTACTTGCTCAGAGAATGTCAAGTCACTAGAGTACCTCAGGCCTAGGTCAACGACACTTCGGAGTCTGTTAGGTTAGCAGATTGGAGCGTTAATTTCAGGTCAATTGAGGGTGCGCCGAAGCAGATCCAGCCACATTTGTTCAGATTAAATTGGAGATTCCATAGGGACGACCAAGCAGTCATTTTATCTAATTCCTTCTGCACTACATTCTCGAAGTTCCCTAAGTCATCACGTTGGAATGTATAAGCTACTTTTAGGTCATCTGCAAAGATGAATGGTTTCCCGTGCGTGAAGCAAGCGCATATGTCATTGATGTATAGTGTAAATAGGAGGGGTCCAATGACACTACCTTGTACTACACCAGAAGTGATAGGGCTAGGTTTGGAGGTTGCAGACCCGAGTTTAACTATTTGGGACCTATTGTTAAGGAATGATTTAAGCCATCCTAATAATGGGTCACGTATTCCTAAGGAGTTCAGCTTATTTGTTAGCAGTAAATGGTCAACACGGTCAAATGCCTTAGAAATGTCAAAGTAGATGACAAGTACTAGTTGCCGTCTGTCACGACTGCTGGTTACAAAATTGAAGAAGTCTAGGTGACATGTTAAACATGATCTGGATTTCAGGAATCCATGTTGGTTCGGACTTATGATGTTGCAGCTAAGCATATGTTTGATTAAGTTATCTTTGACTAGTCTCTCCATGATTCTAGATGCTATAGGTGTGATATTGATTGGCCGGTAGTTACTGACTTCAGTTTTCGAGCCAGATTTGTGTTTAGGCATAATGAATGTAGTCTTCCATATGTCAGGGTAAGTTTGGGTTTCTAGGGACATTGTGAATATTTTAAGCAGCAGTAGAGGAATGTCAGGGCCACCATATTTATAGAAGTAAGATGATATACCGTCGGTACCGAAACCTTTTGAACTTTTGAGGGTTCTTATAGTTTGGTTAATATTAGCGTAAGTGAATTGAACAGTGCTAATTTGGTTTGGTGTCAGTGGAGTTGGAGTTTGTGCCATTTTAGTAATAGGGTGTATATCGAGTAGCTGGACTGAGGGCTTAAGGTAGTTACCTGCAAACGTTTTGTTGAATAGTTCACATATGTCTGCAGAGTTAGTGCATAGCCTGCCTTTGTCTATGAGGAGAGAAATGCTGTGATTTTTGCGATTCATTCGCTTCCTTAAGATTTCTGTGAGTGCATACACTCTAGCAGGACTGGCTACTGCGATGCGTTCTTCCTTTCTCATACGGAAATCTTGAGCTTGTGTGATGGAGCTAAGGGTTTTAAGTATTAGACCTAGAGTGCCAAAGTCGTGGTGTTTGAAGTAACTTGTTGAGAGTTTCTTCAGTTTCTTACGATCCTTTGGTTTTATGAATGACTTTCTGTGTGGGGAAACCTTTAGTGTTTGGAGTGGAATGACAGCATCTAAGCATGTGTTAGTGTTATGGTAGAAGATGGTTAGGGCTCTCGATAGGTCATCAGTAGTGAAGTATTCATCCCATTTGGAGGATCTTAGCATCGATTCTACCAAGGCCCAGTTTGCCTTACTATAGTTCCTATATATTACTTGTTGTGAAGTGGAGGTATGAGATGCATTGCTACTCAGCGGAATTGGCAGTGCACACATCACTGTTTTGTGGTCGCTCCCTGGGAACTCAGAACCTACTAGCGTTGAAAGGGGGCTTATATTGTGGCAGAAGATTAAGTCTAGTACGTTATTACCTCTTGTGGGAGTAGTGACAGTTTGTTTCCAGCCAAGTATATCCAGTGTGCTAAGAACTTATCAAATTTAGTTGGGCCTGTGGGTATATCCCAGTTGATTTCAGGTAAGTTAAAGTCCCCACATAGGATCTTATGATCGTATTGTAAGTCGGATAATTGCTCCAGAGTATTAATAAGTTGGGTCTCGTAATTACTAAAGGTGCCAGGTGCTCTGTAGGTGCATCCAATTAATGCTGTTACGTTATTTAAGTGTACATTAACCCATAGAGTCTCAGGCATGTTAAGTGTACTACTTTCTAGCTGTGATACAGTAAGTGCATTCAGAAAGTACATGAGACAACCCCCTCCCTTACCACCTTCCCTGTCACACCGAAAGTGTGTGTAGTTATCTAAGCTTATTTCTTCATCCAGGATGTTCGAATGACACCAAGATTCAGTTATGACAATTACAGGGGGTTTGTATATGACTGTGAGAAATAGGAGTTTAGAAGCTCACAAATCATTTTAGGGTCACAAGCAGTTTCAACAAACATCAGTGGTATTTTCATATCTTCCAGATTTAACGGTTACTTCTCAAAGCCTAGGTGGAAAATGTCATCAGCATACTCCAAATTGACGAGATGGTTTCCCGATAAGTCCCTGAAGTCAATGAGAGACAATTTTATTTATGAATGTATGATGAAAATAGACTGAAATAATGATAGTAGTTGTACAAGATAGTCTTGCGTTACACCCATCTTAAAAATATGAGTTCCTCCATAGCTTAGTTTCAGTATTAAGTGAACAGAATGCAATCTTCAGAATTCATGGCATTCACAAACTGACTTAGTACTCCTTCAAAAAGCTTAGTTAATCTTTCACCGGTAAGGTGAGAAATCGGTGTTTTGGTTGTGAAAACTCAATAGATTTTGAACTGCTTCCAATGAAAATGACAACAATTCTTAGAATTACGAGTTATAATTTTAGCCTGATCGCAACATTCAGGAATTTTCAAATGACTGCTTGGTGAACATCGAATCTATACAGAAGGTGCATGAGACTTAGTAAAATATACATATTTTCGATTTCACCATGAAGTCCACATATTCATTCATAATACTGAAGTGGAAGAACTTCTATTTGTCTTCATTGAACTTAATGTATAAAGTTTTGTGAAGTGACTTCCGTGTTATTAACTTTCATATGCAGATGAGAGGGTTAAGACATTCGTAACCTTTTGCTTTATGTGAAATTCCAGTGTGACTCGTGGATCAGTGGTATTTATACGAACAAACCGAAAAATAAAGTCTTCTTTAACTTCTGAACAGCTTGTCCTTATTCCGAATAAATAATAACTTTCACGTATAAGTCTAAGTTGTGCCCGTGAAGCCGGACAATATTCCGATTGCTAAAATATATTGTAGCACTTAAAACTTCCTTGATTAAAAAGGTCCCTTTGAACACAGGTTCACAATAATGCTACATACTCTGCCCATGATGCCAATGCTTTTTGTCTCAAAATGAAAAGCAGTCTGTGAATAGGTGGTGAAAACTGAAACCAGTGCTAAAATTGTGCTATGGGTGCCAACAACTGCCAAGCCAATTAGGGTGACTGTATGCCATAGAACTAAATTATGCACTTCTACTTCTGACGCATCTGATCGATAGCTAGAGGTCTTCCATAGGTAGTTTCGTTCTGGGTGACTATATTTTACAGTCGCCCCAAGATAGCGTTTTACTAAAAAGGCCTGATACACCAGTATGATTTTAATAAAAATTAAAAATATATGCTTAAATTTTGAACTGCCTACCTTATTTAATGTGTCACATTGTGCAGATATCAAGCGACATTTCCTGATATAAGTGCAGCAAATGTAATGCAGTTCAAGTACATTATGCCGCCAATATAATGTATGTCAGGAGAGTTTCTTAGCGAAAAATTTATTTTAAAATGCATATGAAAAGCACAAATTGCCACTTAACCATCATAGCAAGGAATATCGATGATACAGTTCACGGCGACATGTAATAAAGTCACTCGCTAATAATGATGTGTCATAACATCGAAACCTAATATTTTCTTCCCGTCATTAATAAAGACGCGTATTTATTTGGAGATTTGCAACAAACACCGATAGAAGGCTGAAAAGGTCTCATGTGTTAATCGTTTATTGACGGTATGAAAGAATTGGGCCTCTATGCAATCTGTCGCTTAAAGCTAAGTTGAGGGTTGATCTCTGTCCATAATATTTAAAATGCTGGAGTCGATCGGACATCGAAATCCTTCAAGTATGCCCATTAGAAATTCTTCGTAGCACTCTTAATGCATCGCTCGATAAAGTGCTGGAAACTGAATAGCCTGTGATATCAAAGACGGATCAGAGTCATTCAACCTAAACCCAATAGAATCTGGCTGAGTTTCACGAAAGCTTTCATTGTGCAGTGAAAAAGAAATGAATAATAATTCATGCTTAACAAATGGGAGCTTGAAAAGCATTGATATAATCAAGATATAGCCGTGATGTAGTGAGTCAAACTGACTACACAGCTTTAAGTAGACATTGGTTGTTGAAACTGAGGTACCGCCAGAAATTTATCTAGCGGAATTTGTTATCGCTTTCTCGTTGTACTTGAATTTGAAATGGACAATGAAATTCTTCCCGGCCCGTCCAGTAGACCAATTGATGGTAAAAGCAATTCGAATGTGACAGTGGGAAAACCAGAAAGTGATGGTAATCAGAAGGTGAATGAAGAATGTAACGAGAAAGACTCAGTCGGTTGTTCCGAATACCTGAACAACGTATACGTTATTCAGGTAAGTGTTATTCTATACTTTTTAAAAATTTTGTATTTTAATGGTTAATCTGTGAACATGACAAAATGATCTGTGTATTTGAACTCTTAATTATAATTAATTCTAACATTCAAATGTGCGTATACGCACATTTGAATATTAGAACATTTAAGTTTTTATAAAAACTTAAATGTGCACAAATGATTTGTCATGTGCCTCTGTAACAAATTTGTAGTAGCATAAAGACTTCTGGGAATCATTCTTTATCACAATTGGTATATACAATGAACATAGTGTTTAACGGTTTACTAGAATGGATATTGGATATTGGAATAGGATGAACTGGTCATCATCTGGAATCGATGCCATGAATGGTGATTCTTGACCGAGTCGTATGGCTCAGACAGAACCACATTCCGAAGCGAAAGACACAACAGAGGAACAGTGTGCCCAGAAGTCTGCAAAAATACTCAAAACTTCCTGAAAATCTAAGAGGGCAAGCAGTGCCAACGTTGTAACACTGCTGGGTGATACCACAACGGCGAAGCGTTGCGTGTTTGGTGAACGCATGGCTTCCATCTGTGGCGAGAGCAAAAGTTTAATTAACTGATCCCACTTGGTAGGTGCCACAAAATATGAAGCTGGAGAATTATAAGAAAGAGAAAATGACTGAGCTTAGTGATAAGTTCTCGACAGCTGTAAACACTAATAAGATTGTGAAATCTTCGGACTCAAATTACAGTATCATAATTTGGAATTTGAGGGAATCAAAGAAATTAGATCCAGCTGTCCGACGTGCTGATGATCTCGAGGTAGTTAGCTGCATCGTACTGAAATACTTCCTGAAAAACAAATGGAGTTCACATAAGAAAAGTCACCAGAATCGGTAAACGAAACACCGATGCAACGGAAATTTCCCCACGATATGGAGAAAAGTATTATAGGAATTAGGTCAAGGTTGTGGGAAGCTCATGAAAGCAACACCAGTGAAGTCGCGAACTGAGTCATTAAATTGAACAAGGACAATTGAGGTTATTTATAGAAGTTCTGCCAGCTGACGATTTCGTCCTAAATCACCTCAGGACGTGGAGTAGTAGGAACAGGTGTCTAATAGTAGGTGACCTTAATTCCCCGTATATTAATTGGGAGGAATTAACATCAACTACCTTGTACACTTGTTTCAACAGGGAACATATACTGACAGTGTTTGAATGCGTACTTGTGCAGCGTATTGATGCACCAATAAGGAACCACTCTGAACATGATCCGTCCATGCTAACACACCAGAAGGAGGATGTCAGTGACATTAGGTTGCTGGAGCCGCTAGGCAGTGGTGACCATATAGTTATCACTTTTACGTTTAGGAATCACGCTGTCACACATAGGTTAATAGCTGGTTGTCAAAACATTTGGAAGGCGAATACACCTGCAATTCGAAATGCAACAACCCTAGCTGACTGGTCTGTCGATGCACACCAGACTGCCGAGGAAGCTTGAAAGGAATTTATGATTACACTAGGTTGCATCATTGCACCCTTTGTACTTTGGTCTACGCCTCGAAAACTATCGTATAACCCACCTTGGATTAGTAATGAAATAAAGAGGTTATTAAGAAAACAACAGAACTTATGGGACTGGTTTACTGTGACTGAGAGGGATGAGTTTTGAATGAAATACCGCAAAATTCGAAACCTTCGTAAGCACATGACTGACAAAAGTCGTATAGAGTATGGGGGACAGTTAGTACTGGATTTTGTGCATTGTCCAATAAAACTGTACTCGTATATAAAACGCAGAACTAAAGCTATCAATGGTATACCATCCCTCATAATCAATACTGGAGAGGCTGCCAAGTCAGACGGAAAAAGCTGAGAAGCTCTCCGAATACTTTTGTGATGTTTTCTCGCCTAACCGTACCATTCAGGGGTGTAGCGAGGTAACTGATGTATCCCCTAAGATGCCCCCAATAGTGGTAGATAATCCAGTGGTTCTGATACTACTGTCTAAGTTGAAGCCAGGTAAATCACCTGGACCAGACGGACTTCACCCTAGATTGCTAATCTCCTTGGTAGATATAGTATGCACTCCTTATACGGAGATTTTTGAAATTTCTCCGACCAAGGCTAGGTTACCCAGGGACTGTAAAGATGCTTTTATAAGCCCCATCTTCAAATAGGGGAACAGGCAGTTCGTATCTAGCTACTGGCCTGTAAGTCTGACCTGCATTATAGCAAAGGTGTTAGAAAAACTCATAAGGGATCAGCTCTTAACTCATACGAAAAAACATGGCTTACAGGCAGTAGAGCAGCATGGACTCCGACCAGGACGATCCTGCTTTACAAGCTTACTGTTAGCTAGGGAAAATTGGGTCGAGGCCAGGCTTATGAACCATCTGCTAGACATTGTCCTTATCGATCTTAGTAAAACATTCGATAAGGCATCTCATTTAAGTCTTCTAAGTAAACTTAGACGTTTTGGATCAGACTGACGCCTATGTGAGTGGTTTAGCGACTACCTGATGGATAGAAGGCAGAAGATAAGGGTTAATGGTGTACTGTCAGGGTCGAAGGCAGTACTAAGTGGAGTACCTCAGGGAACCATACTTGGACTCCTGTTATTCCTATTATACGTAAATGAACTGCCGAAAATTCTTACCTCATCTTCCTTATTATTTGCCTACGATATTAGGACATGGAAAACCGCAAATAGAAACGATGATAGGTTGGTACTACGAAACGATCTAGATTAATTAGTTGAATGGGCTAACCTCTGAAGTCTGGGAATTAATTCCAAGTAAAGCGCAGTAACACACCTAGGTCAGAGGTCTTATACGTCGTACTCTCTGGGGGACAAAGAACTGTCAGATGTTAAGGGACAAAAGGAATTAGGAATTGTTGTAAGCCATGACTTAAAAACCACGGCAAATTGTAATGGAGCCGCAGCTAAGGCTTTTCGAATGCTATGGGCACTTTGAAGGGCTTTCAAATGATTAGACAAGGGTATGTTCTAAGTACTCTATGCAACATATGTCAGACTTCACCTAGAATACTGCATACAAGCGTTGAGTCCATGCTTCTAAAGGGAGGCACATTTCCTGGAAAAAAGGTAGGAATCAAATGAGTTAGTGGCATCTCACACCTTCCTTATAATATGAGGATGGAGCATTTAGATCTCTTCCCATTATCATACCGAAGGACGAGAGGCGACTTAATTTTGGCTTACCCTATATTAAAGGGTGGTTTAGGAAATGACCTTTTAAACCTTTTCTCCCCTTCTAGGATACATTTACGAGGTCACCACAAAAAGGTGCTCGAACCGAGGTCGAATAAAATACGCGTGGAATTTAGATTCTCTTAAAGAGTGGTCAGCGGCTGGAACTCCTTACCTGATTTAATATTAACAGCTCCATCGGTGAACGCTTTCAAAGAGAAGCTGGATCTCTTCATATATATATATATATATATATATATATATATATATATATAGCAAGGATTAACATAGGCAACAAGAGCCTTCTATCCTTATAATCTGAATCTGCATAAAGACCTTATAAGCATCCTCCATGAAGTGGTCAATAATTGTCACTTTGGAGTACTCAGTCTTAATAATAAAGCTAAAATAATGCTGAAAAGTGTACTTATGACTAGGTCAAATGAGAAAAAATAAATTGGCTGCTTGAAAATTCCAGTCCATGTCTAAATGATGCAGGTAATGCTGAAAAAACACATGCACTATGAAGTTGTCTCCGTTTGGGAATACTACAATCGACCCACTCACATGCAAAATGTAGCCCATTTTCTTAAAATGCGTTATAGTAAGAGTATACTCTAGTGAAGGATCTGTTTCTGAGGTGTGAAATGAATTAGGCTGGTCAAGTGCAGAATGCTGTACAGGCTTAATGATCTCAAGGTTTCCGTGTCCAGTGTTGTCAGACACTTTTGACCACAAAATTCGGATTTCGTAATAGGCATAATAGAACAGGTCACACAACATCTACAGTTAAGGGGATTCAATCCATAGTAGTATTCTGAAATATTTTTCGCCTCCAATCAAAGTGATTGTTAATAATCGCCCAGGGGATGTTTTCTGGGCCAGTAGATTTGGCAAAATTGTCTGCAACTATGATATTATCTTGTCAACAAAAACAATAGCACTATAAATGGACGTCTAGTAATTAAACTAACCATTAACTTTCCGCACTATTATTTCGTTGCCTAGATAATGTTTTTAATCGAAGTTTCAGAGGACAAAGGGTGTAGACTAGTGCGTTAGATATGGTTGTAATGATAATATACGTATGTAATTATCCACTTCTATTATACTTTCTAAGTATTGCCAGAAGAAAGAAGGCCCAATATAGGGAAAATATTTCGAGATCATCTCGGTAGAGCAGTAATGGATGCTTCGTTAACTAGGGGTCTTGCACAAAGAAACATATGTACAAATGGCGAGGGTGTCTGACCTCTTGCGTTCAGCTGAAACAGTAAAAATCAGCATCCAGTGTTAAATGATAAAAGCTTTAGACTGATAATCTTGAAGAGATATTTACCGCTACAAAGATTTTCCTTCTAAACATTACCTTTCCGAAACCCCTGAGATTGAATATTTTTAGTTCTGTAAGTGATTTTAACCAATGCCTCTGTGGGTTAGTACGTTTTGGAGACGCACAAATTCTCCGCAATTGCCTGATGTTAATATGAAATTACTAGTAGAAGTTTCACTGCTTTAATACATCAGAAGGTGCGTCGATGGTACGGTGGCTAGAATGCTCGCCGACCATGCACATGGTCCGGGGTTCAATCCCCGGCCGACGCACTCCTTTACCTCGCTAAGCAAGAAATAAAATAAAAAATGCTAGTAAAGATGAAAGGTTAGGTATGAGGCTATCAACCTCATGCTGTAAAAATGAACACTGCTACAGAAACTTCAAGCCTCCAGCTTGAAGCCCTATATTCCATTGGGAACGCGAATGAATAAATAATAATAATACATCAGAAGAATTCAAATTGTCTTCCAACAATTTTAATTTATTTTATATGTCAATTAAAGATGCTAACAGCCTGTAGAATATTGTGGTCACTTTCAACAGCAGATGACTACTGTTTTCTCCAAAAAAATATTCTGTTTCTCAGCGATAGCTTCACTGTCACCCTGCGATACTTCAGAATATTAACAGAAAAGAACTTATTGCGTTTGCTTTTTTCCCCGGCAGTTAGTTAAATTATACAGTTTAGAAATCCATTTCGAAGAGACCACATACTTTGAAGTAGTCACTGAATTAACAGTTCCCTATTTCTAGATCCCCTCTCCCGACTTAAAAATTGTTTGTTTTCATGCTTTTCGTAAAATTACAAGTACAGATGGTTCACTGTTGCTGAAAAATCTGCAGAACGGCCAAATATATCACTAAGCGTGTAAATAATATAGTAATAAAACTATGGAAAGTAGACATACTTCGAAACTTTACCTGTTAAACAATGTTAAAAGATGACAGTCATCTTGGAGTATGTCAGCTAATAAGTTTTATTTTTTATTTAATGTGATGAATCAATACTTGATTTGAAATGTAATAAGTTTGTCATTGTCTAACTACCACCAAATAGATACAACTTGTCAAGGAACACTAATAATAATAATAATAATAACAGACATCCTATCATTTCAATTTAGTATGACTTAAGAAATAATGCCTCACTTTAAAATCTATGACGTATTACTAGTATTTAGAAGGTTTAGTTAAGGAATTATGTCATCAGTACCTCAATGAACTCAAAATCATTGAAAAGTTTCAAATCATATCAGATCAATTTGCCTCGGAGAATACAATGTCTTTGTCTGTGGAGTAACAGTCAATCTAATTATAAAGCAATTTGTTTTTTGAGACGGTTGATTTAGTTGTGAAGCTTTGATTGTCTTTGTAGACAACATCTTCAGCTCATACTTAAGTTTGTATTGTTCTCTTGGAGCTCTCTACGAGTTTATCAGCTATTTCTTCTAGGAGCCTTGGAAAGGGTTGGTTGTTTTTGGATAATTTTTTCTTACCATCTAGTCCACATGTATTGTTGTTGATTATTTGTTTAATCTGAAAGTTGATCTTTTGTTCATGTGACCTCCCTTTTATTGATCGAAAAATCTTACGTATGTTAATGTGACTATTGTTTGCAGATATGCCTGAGTACTAGGTTTCTAGAAATCTACAGGTATTTTCGGTGTTTTCTTTGTCTAGGATCAGTACATTTTCCCAATCGAATTAGCTTCTATGGTTGTCTGTATGTCTTGATATGAGGGATTGGATATGTTTTTCTGATAGCCAGTTTATGTTTACGCTGTCTAGAAAGACAATGAAAGCTTCTCAACTGTAGCCATCCAGGTGGGAAAACAAGACTTGTTATTATTTCCTTGTGTTTCTGAGGCAACCTAAAGCTATACCGGTACATCTCCATTTCAATCTGTCCTTTGCAGTCGTCACTAGCTGGCTCCACGTCTACCCGTAAATTCTCATCTCCTCCTCCACGTAACCTTCTGATCCAAGTCTAACTCGCCGTTTCCCATTCACCTTCTACTCGAGTGCTTGTCCCTCAACAGTTTCCTTTGTGTGTGTGTAGTCCATATGCATTTCTTACTGCACGTTCGTTAGCCGATAGATTTTTGGTTGGTTCTCTCCCGGAGTTATCCATGCTGGCCATCTAATCTTCAGTATCGAACGAAGACACTTGTCGGTGAAAGTCCGCAGCAGGCTGTTGGAAATACTTTTTTGACACGCCAAGTCTCTGAACCATATAAAAACAGTGATTTGATATTAGTACTGAAAATATGTATCTTCTTTTGCTGATTGCAGCATATTCTCACGCTGATATCAGAGTAATGAAAGCCTGTCTTGCCTTCCCGATCCCGTTTTTGACATTCTCATCTATTCAGCCTGTATTTAAAACTATGCTGCCTGGATAAGTGACAGAAGAGTCCAATTCTACTGCACCGATATTATCCACCTATGCGGTAAATCTTCTGTTTCATTTTTCAATATGTATTTCATTTTCTCGATAGGACTCTATAATAATTTATTCCACACACTTAATATCACATTATAAACTTATGGTTTAAAGAATTTATTTTACTATTTCAGAGATTGCAGACTATGGCAAATAGAGCTGAAGAAGTAGCCCGTCAATTATGGATGAGTGGATGGGAAGTTGTTAACTTTCAACGACTACCTGCCTGGTTAAAAGACAATGATATGCTGTTACAAGGTCACCGACCACAACTAAATACTATATGGGCTTGTGTTAAGTCAGTTTTTCGTATTCATACAGAGACGGGTAATATATGGACGCATTTTCTAGGTTTGTTTGTCATTACAATATCATCAACAACAAAAATTATTCTAATCACAATCAATTTAGGTTGTTTCAGTTTTACTGTGATATCTCTATTTATGCTGTTCCAACCCAGCAGTTTATTCCAATGGCAAGATAAACTTGTCTTCTCAGCCTTCTTTTTTGGAGCTGTATGCTGTCTAGGATTTTCGTGTGTATTTCATACAATCTCTTGTCATTCAGAATATGTTTCACGGATAATGAACAAGTAATGCAGGTGAAATTTACTTATATAATAATTTTTCTTTTTTGCCGGTTTTTATAGCTATGAGACTTAAGTTCACTATATTACCTGAAAAGCGGAAACAGACATGAGTACACTGTGAAGTAAATACACATAGTTCTAGATTATTTTGTTTATTTGATATACCATCACCTACAGTGAAACAGTATTATTTACTGGATGACAAAGTTTCGAATACAGTCTGTTATTCATATAATCATGTCAACGTTAACTAAACAACCTCGGAACTTAACTTTCATAGTTCATTTTCTCTTTCCCATTCGTCTTAAAGACGGCAGAATTTTTTCAATATCCTCAACAGGTACTAAATCATTACTGTTTCACGTATTTTCAATTGATTTGATAAATAAGGTTTCCGTTATCAACCTTTACCACCACCTTGTTTTATAAGATTTTAAGACTTTCATCTTATCTCACGCTATAGTAAGGTTGTGTATAATTGTATGTAATGCTAAAGATCTCGTGCATAGGGAGAGATTGATAACGGAAGCCTTACATATAGAATCAACTTAGAATGTGTTCATCAGGAATAATCAGACACCTGTCGCAGGGGTTTTAAAAAACCCTACTCCCTTATGACAAATAAGAAGGAAGAAAAAGCAAAATAAAAATCAATTTTCCAAGTTTTGCAGTTATAATTAATATGATTACGAACAACAGATTGTATTGGAAACTTTGTTATCCGGTAAATAATACTGTTTCACTGTGGGTGATATATCCAACAAACAAATTAACATGGAGCGACATACTACCACAGAGCCGAAGTTTTGCGCATATGTAAGTACACGTAGAATGGAACCATCGGTTTCCTTAAGTATGAAAGCGCGAAATTGAATTAACTAATTATTAAATTCAATAAAGAATTATCTACCTTGAAGTTTGGTCATTAGTTGGTTTCCTCAGCCTTTTGAAGTATACATTTCTGGTCTATTGTCCCAGATAGAAAGTGTTATTATTCATGAAATTTCTGTTTGAAAGTGTAGAACTTCATTACTGTTATTATTACTATCTGTTGTCATTTTTTTATTCCTTTACGTTCCGAGTGGAATGTAGGGCTTCAAGTTTGAGCTTTGAAGTTTCGGTTGCAGTAGAATTTAGATTTTACGGGGTGCAGTCTCTAGCCGGCCAACCTTCCGTTGTTGCTGGGCTTACTACTAGCTAAGTGAAGTTTAGGAGTGCGCTGGCCGGGGATCGAACCCCTAACTGAATGCATGGTTGGCAAGGGTTGTACCGCCGATGCATGTAGGACTTCGTACTTACCCGAAACTTCAGTGAACAGCCGAGACGTCAAGAAAATAATAATAATAATAATCTATCAACTGATGTGTGAATATAATAAAACATTTATCCAATACCGTTTAGTACCTGAAATCATAATTAAAGCTTTGTTCTGAAAAATGTGTCAGCGCAAAATGAATTTTCGTCAAGTCTCTAATTGCAAAGTATGTACTCCGTGTGCAGAACCTTCAAGTAATATAACAGTAGATAATATATCAGTTGAAGTGATGTTGTTTCATCAAAGTAGTGTCCTAATTATCCTCAATGTTTCTCATTCATTTCCGTTAGAAAATCTGTAGCAATAGTTTGAAAATATGTCTGGGTATTTACGATACAAACCAGTTACCGTTCTACGTCATTTACACGGAAATTCTTAAGTTTGATTGTCTTCTTTAAGCTTTTTCTTTGTATCTTAGAGAGTTGTTGACCTGACATAATCTACAATTAAAGGTGGCCATTTCACTAGTCAGATCACTGAAAGTGTTTCCATCTTAAGTGCTTTGTTTAGAGTCCTAACAAACTCGATTAAGTAAAGTTCAGTGTTTTATACTGGAAAAGTTTATTGAATGATAAGGCTCAAAATCCTTCTCAATGACACAGATACATTCACTCTATGGGCTTCCAGATTCAATAAGTTCTCATTATTCGCTGTGTAATTATTCTATCTCATACACATTTTCGTTCATTATGCGTATTCTCTGTCAATATTTATGTGTGTATTTTATGAAATGTGGGAATTTGAATCGCTGGACTTTTGTACAAAGTTGTGTCGGAAATTCAGTCACTCCACTCAGTCAGTCAGTTAGTTTTTTTTCAAATTCATCTAAAGTGGGGATTTGGTATTAGCTATATATGCATACAGTTTTGTCTAGCGGTACAAAGTTATGAAATAGAAGTTACTACTGCTTTTTGAAGTTTAACTACTAACACAGTGATTCTTTCATAAGACTATTAGTTATGATGAACATTAAGTGAATTATTTTTAGGGCATTTTAATGGTACAGCTCTCATTGATCATAAGTGAAACAGACACATATTCTCATCTGGCTACAGAAGTCATCTCACACGGACTATCTCGGAAATAATAAGAAAAATGAGAAGGAATGTACTAATATTTATTTGTCCTCAGAAACTACTTGAAATTAAAAAAAAACTCACAGAGTTTTAATAGTACTAACGATTTTTTAAATTTTAGGAATGTTTTATTAACAATAATAATAAAGATAAGTGATCAAAATTGAAACTAATCAAATCCTCACAAACTAACACTTGTAATTTAATCTGATGCTCGTTGGTGAGTGACTGAATACAGGATGAAATTACCTGGAGTTCTAGTGAGAAGCTTCAAATTGAAGTATGCGCTGAAGATGTCACCCAGTAAGGTGATGAAAGCTTCGCAAACTAACCATCCAGTTCAGATAACAAAACCACATCAAAAACAACTTAATCTGCCTTGAAATGTGATTTAAGTCAAGGCAAGGCAAATTAACTAGGCTCTATAGATTTGTGTGGATCAATAAGACCTACCAGTTGTTTAAATAATAATAATAACAACCTAGTTTAATTATTTATACGTATTTTAACATAAAGTGAATTCATTTCACTGAGTAAATAGTTTTATTTTCTCATAGAAGTATATTTACTCAAACAGAATTATAATTTTGATAAATATTTACAAAATCGCATAGTTTATTTAAACATTTCTAACACTTTTCTGGTCTGAAGAATTACCATAACATCATTTTACTGTGCGTCGGTGGCACAGTGGTTAGGACTCTCGCCGACCATGCGCATGGTCCGAGATTCGATCCCCTGCCGACGCACACCTGATATCTATGGTCGGCCTGCAAAATTTGGGCTACCGGTATGACATGCTGAAAATTCTATACTTGTGCCAAAAATACAGTGTGAAATCAAGCTGTAATAAAAAATATAAAAGAAAATTATAAACTGTATACGAAATAGAATGAATGATTCCGCTGACGTTTGATTATTCAGCTTAGTATTATTATTGTTATTATTATTCTACAAGTGTGCGTCAGAGGTTCAGTGGTTAGAATGATCACCAACCACGCACGTGGTCTGGTTTCAATTCATGACAAACGTACCTCTTAACCTCGACTAATTTACTAACAGATAATAAGTTTGACAAAGAAGGAAGGCTAAGCGTGAGGATAGCAACACATCTCCGTAAAAAAAACTTCATCCTTATTGAAAATTCACTTAGGATTCAAGTGATAAATAATAAAATAATGTCTAAAAAAGGCATAAATCCTATTAAATTACAGGATTGATCACGAGCCGACATTGCCTAGAGAAACATTGGAAAGCGTGGGACTACCAGACAGCTGCTTATCCCTAGTTTGGGACTCTTCACAGTACGCACCCACTAAGGTTCGAACTAAGGAGATTCTCGTTACGAGGCGTACTCACAGATCATTCAGCCACAAAGACCTGATCGAATGAACCATGGATTCCAACTTCTGCCAATTATAAATTTAAAGAATTACTTGATCATCTAAATAATATAAACTGTTATTTGGTTATTCCGTTCTGGATTTCACCGGTTACAATGAGGCTTTATTAGTTCAGTATATGGCTAACTCCACATATTAACATAACAAGTTAATACCTCACTATAGCCTCATACATGCAGACCGTTAGCCTTACAAACTGAGGACAAACTGTGTGATTTCTTTTTGTGTCTTTCCTACACTGATCTCACCGTTTATTCCCTGGGTATTTAATCAAACGATAAATTATTGGTCAAGAAATATTTAAGAACAGAATGATTTTGTTTATGTACAAATGAAAAGTCATTGGGATGACTTTCTAAAAGAATAAATTCAAAGAATAATCTTCAAAGATAGATAAAAACTACTTATTGATTTCTATTTGTTGTTATCCTTTTCTGAGGTTAAAAGATTACTGGACGCGAATTTAGTGTTTCAGCTGCTGTTTGTGAATAAAATATAACGTGTTCTTGGAAGGCATCTTAACATCATCCTAAAAGGCTTCTTATTTATGAATGTACAAGTCTTAAAAAGAAATGTGTTATACCTTTTTTCTCGAATAATTTTGGTTATCGAATAAAATATAAAAAAAAAATATAAAAAAAATTGTTGGCGCTGTTGAGTTCTCTGAGATGGAGGGCTTAACTGAGAAGATCATAACAAATGATTCAACGAAGAGACTCTTTTCAATGAATTTTTGAAAAAGAAACTCTTCGCCGAATCATTTGTTATGATTTTCTATATATCCTAATGGGAATCTTCCATGAATTAATTGAGAAGATTTCATTGTCTTTTTAAGCTGCATCTTCAGCTTTAAGGTCACATTAAAGTAATTTCACTGTTATTGTCTAGAAAGATAACGAAAGCTCCACAATTAAATCATTTGACTCAGATTACACAACTATACTAAAAGTAGCTACTTCAGTTACAAATGGTTCCCATACTTTCAACATACTGAACTTTCCGTGGAATTAAAGGATGTGTTTCTAAGGTAATTTAAAAAGAAATATCTTAATTAGTTATCTCTGAGTTAGGACAGCAGAAATTAGATGACTTTATTACATATCCCTGCTAATTGTTCCTTCATAATCCGTTGATATGGTGGTTGAATGAAAACTTATATTCTTGTATGCTTTTTTAGAAGTGGCGCCACATTTATCCAGTGAATATTAGGGCGTTTAAATAAATAGGCCAAAATATACAACCACGATTTCTTGAAAATTTAATAGTATACTATCTTCTATAATCCATTTCATTGCTCAGATATCAATGTCAAGCAACATTTTCTGATAAAAAGGCAACAAATGTAACTCAGTTTAAGAATATAATCTACTTCTTTTCAAAAGACATCCCAGTGACCTTTCAGTTGTACATAAACAAAATCATTCTGTTCTTAGATATTTCTCAATCACTAATTTATCGTTTGATTGAATACTCAGGAAGAAACGGTAGGATTAGTGTAGGAAAGACACAAAAGGAAATCACACAGTTTGTTCTCAGTTCATAAGGCTAACAGTCTGTATGTTTGAGGTCATCACAAGTTATTAGCTTGTTATGTTAATATGTGGAGTTGGTCATATACTGAACTAATAAAGCTTCAATGTTTTTTTGTGTAGAGGATTTCATCATGAGCTGACATTAGTTAGAGAGCCACTGGAAAACCCGGGAGTACTGGACAGCTGTTTCGTCCTAGTTTGGGACTCTTCATCAGTACGCGCCCACTGGGGTTCGAACCCAGGACCTTCTAGCTGCAAGGAGAGCTCGTAGACCATTGAGCCACTGGGACCCCATCCAATGGTTCTTGAATTCTAACTTCTGGCAATTCACGACTCTATTCTATTGTTTATTTCCTGAGTTCCTCGTAAGGTTCAATAGTGGGGATATTGGTTTTACAAGAGGTGTGTTGCTATCCTCATGCCCAATCTTCCTTCTCTGTCAGACATTATCATTTACTAATAGTTGTTTTCAATTCTGTTTTTATGGTAATGATCTGTTTGCTTTAAGAAAATAACATTATTAGATGTTAATTAATACGTAATTTTACCGAAGAGGATATCAATATTAATCAGCTGCCTATCTATTTATTTCTGTTTCATCTTATAGGCTTGATTATGCTGGGATAGCATTTCTTACAATAGGCTCATTTGTGCCTTATTTATATTATACATTCTATTGTGTATTTTGGGCGAAAGCATTCTACTTGGCATTGATTGGAGTATTGGGAACTGTTGCAATTATCGTTTCAATGTCTTCCAAGTTTGCTACTCCTCCTTATCGACCTTTAAGAGCCGGAGTGTTTATAGCTCTTGGTCTTTCAGGTGTTATTCCATGCATACATGCTATCATTTGGAATGGATTCTGGTCATCTGTCAATCATGGTTCACTTGGTTGGCTTGTTCTTATGGCTGTATTATATATTTCTGGTGCTTCTATTTATGCAGCGAGAGTACCAGAAAGATGTTTTCGTGGGCGTTTTGATTTATGGGTTAGTTAGTTTTCATTATCTTTTTCCAAATTGAATGATAATAATAATAACTATTATTATACTGGTCGAAAAGAACAACCATTGAAAGTCAGAAACAGGTTTCGTCGTAATTCACGACTCTTTTGCAATGCTGGTATGATTCGAGGATAGCTGACCGCTTTTATAAATTCAGTGCTCCAAGTTTAGCAACTCTCGGTAACTAGTTGGAATAAGAACAGATAATACGCTGAAGATTATTCAAGAAGTGATAGTGAGGATTTATTTCAACTGAATGCATGATTACACTGAAAAAACGCCTTAGAAATACGATCATAAATTTGAACCTTAAATCACACTACGGGAAACTCAGCTACAACCCTAGTGAAAACTGGCTTTCATATGGCTTTCACTATTTCTTGTTTATCATAGTTCATCAAGGTGAATACTCTGGATACTCACACTTTGTGAAAGGGAAAAATAAAAGAAAAAAGGTGAAAACATAAGGAAACTTTAATACATCAACGCATTTGGCAGAGGTAATAATCTACAAAGCAGCTACTGAAGATGTTCAGAAATCCGAAGATGACCCAAGAGGAATTCATCTACAAGGAGGAAAACTACACGCCGCTGAATAGTTTGGTCAGAGGACTCATGGACTGATGAATATTGTTAGTCTCACCACGTCTAGCTCTCTTCCAACTTCCTCCTACTTCTTTTTAGGTTAATTTATATCTCCCATTGATTGATTATGTCGGGACGAAATGCCCAGTCTCTGTTGGCATTCCAGCTCTCAGTATGGACACTTCATCAATATCTAAAGTTTAAAGTGAAGTTATCTTGGTTAATGGTGACTAGTAGTGGAATCGAGGATGTGTATTTCGTCCTGTCTGAGATTCGTCAGCTGGATGTATCTGCATTCCCAGGGAGTGATAGTGTCCCAGGTGAGACTCAGACCGAGCTCCAATCATTTCAAACTTAACGTTAATCCTTAGGACATATCTGAGGCGTCCGTACTAGAAACCGTCATTTTAACAGAGATCCAGCGTCTTGGTCGAGCATAAACAGTCAACGGAAATATACAAAATTAATCTAAACACAAATAATAACTGACACCCACTACACAGAAGGTGGCTATCATGCCCCAGGTGGATAATGCGTTAATGTTTGAAACGATGGGTGCAGCGCTTAAGTTTCATTAGGCAAACCATCATTCACAGAGAATGCAGGTATATATCCCTCTGATGAGTCCTAAATAAAACGAAATGCACATCCTGAATTCTACGGTCAGTCACCACCTATAATAGTAACTAATCCTACTTCAGTTAACAGTAAAAAGCAAATTTTTAGTGGAATTAGTCACCAAATAAAAACTCAATTTGAAGCTAAATCAACAACCGACTGACATATTGCAGTATTATTATTATTATGTACTTTTGATGCTGCTACATGTGATGATCGAAGCGGCTGTTTACTCTAATCATCCTGATCACTAATCATATGACTATTGTTTACTATATATATTACTTGCATAATTCATAAACAGTATCATCATTGATAAGTATCATAGGGTTCTGAATTGTAAGCTATGTGTATTACAGACAAGAATAATAGGGCCAAAAAATATTACCACACACGTATGTCACCATATCATGGTCTTAACTTCTTAAATAAGAATTTCTATATTTCATTATCCTTGTTGTTATTCATAACAACGTAAATCAGGTTAAATCAGTCTTTTTTCCGCTTTGTTGTTTTATTAATGAGCGGAGGACACAATCCAGTAAATACATTAATGAGTATATATATATAATCTGATTTTGATTGATCCGTCGATCGATCGATCAATAAATCAATCCCCTGACCCAGTTATTTTTTCATCATACTTTGTACTTTTGTTTCCTGCATATCACGAATAAAGCATGGTATGATTTTAATGCGAATGAAGATAGCTAAAAAGAATGTTTTATACAATGGCAACATTTATCTCAATATATATTCACCTGAAAGTCTCCTTTTAACTCCTAATTCTGAGAATTCCTGATAAGTTTCAGTATAACTTTCCAAAAGGAAGTCAGTATCATTAATGTAGGAGAATACAAATTCAAAGACAGTAAACCTCTGTTACAAGTTGTTGTAGAGTAGTCTAGCAGTTAGCACACATGTCATCTTTGTCTTGAGATGAAACAATTACGTTACATTGTGTATTAATGTGGTCACATAAGGTGAAGAACTTTCCAAATTCTATTAATTTCCAAGTGTTGGTTGACATGGATTTGGTTTCATGATTGATAACAAAGTGAATTAATTTAGAGAAAAATCAGGGAGTATTGAAAAGTTTTGGACTCTTCAGCAGTGCATTGATCTATGACTCCACCAGGGATAGGACCTAGAACTATCGGGTTACAAGACGAACTCGTTGGCTGTTCAGCCACTGGGGTAGAATCGAGTGGCCCATGAATTCTAACTCCTGCCAATCCACGATATATAAGTTGACCACCATCCAATATCATCGACGCGTATTTGTTCATTATACCTAACTTGGTGGAGTCCGCTCGTCACGATTTTCCACTAAAACTTCAAGCAACTTCGAGTTTGCCTTGTAGGCTCGTCATCTGGATCCAATAAATAATTGTTAGTGGCTGCTTTCGATAGGCATCAATCACTTTTTTATCAGTCATTAATGAAAGTCTCGCAGTTTACTTACTCTCCATTCTACTGTGGTAAAGACATTTTGACTTCTGAGATACAACAACATATTTCAGTAATTTCTCATCAAGCTTTAAAATCATATAGTAAAATATTAATTAGTTGTAGATGTCTGATACTAATGGGGTTAATATAACTCAAGTTCAGGCATATGGATTAGTGGATAATGGTTGAGATGATCATATTGAGATAGTAGCAGCGATAAATTTATGTAAGGTTTTTATATGATCTGGCTAGTCAATCATTGTGAATGTTTTTGATCGGCCACTAGTCAGTAACTAGTGTAATTTGTGTGTGTGTGTGTGTCTAGTCCTATCATTGGTGCTGATTGAATTCTATCAGTCGAGTTTGCAATGTCGCTACCATGCCACTAGGTGGCTTACCATCACGGTGCACTGTGGATTTTTGGTATTAGATGGTTGGAGGAAATCGGGAGGAAGCCTTGCTTGACCTAGGTTTTGTGCTAGTTGGCAGTCATCAGTAAGGCGTTTCTGAAACCTCGAAGGAACTCATGTCCCTGTTTAGATTTGAACCCGCGTCACTCAGTGCTGCAGCCAGAGACGTTACCACTGAGCTGATGAGCACCAGCTAGCACGAAACGTAGGTCTAAGGCTTCTTTCCGATTTCTTCCAACCATCTAATACCAACATTGTGAATATGTGTGTGAGTAGAAAATAAATATTTGTTAGAATAAGTCATAGCGTTTGATTTCTGTAATAAATTTTGAAGGTAAGATTAAAATATGTAATCCAACACAATAAAATCATGATAATCAAGATGAAGTTAACAGTACAAATGAAGACAATATTTACAGTTATGTGATGTCATCTGGAAAGGACACTAATCTAGGTTTAGGGTGCAGACCGTAGGATGGTTTGCATTGAAAATCTTTTTATAGCAACTGCCTCAGCTCTGCTTAGCAGTCGAAACCGTGCAAACCTAAAGAATCGAGGTAACATCTGATTGATTTTTCGATTCCTTTTCCTAACTACTTTGGGGAATGCTAAAGAAGACGACGGTGGGCTTGCCTAGTAAGTAGTTTTACCTATGTAGTTGTCTCCACAAGAACACTTAAGTGGATAAATCCACTGTGAAGTTACCAATTACATAAATTTATTCTATTGATTCCTTTAAGTGCGTCGGTGGCATAGCGGTTGAGAGGCTTGCCGACCATGCACATGGTCCGGGGTTCGATCCCCGGCCGACGCACTCCTTTCCCTTGCTGAGCCAGAAATAATGCTGGTAAAGGGGAAAGGTTGGGCATGAGGCTAGCAACTCCATCCTGTGAAAACAAACACTGCTAAGGAAACTTCAAACCTCTAGCTTGAAGCCCTATATTCCACTGGGGAACGTGAAGGAAAGAAAGAATTGATTCCTTTACAGAGTGATCTGATCACCTTGATTATTACACACCATTTAATATTCTTGAACTGTAATCCTGTTAACCATATTGGTCTCAAATAGCCATGGTCAATATTTTATTATGTAATTGTCAGTACAATCTGATGAGAAATTCCTAGAAATATATGTATTTGCTTAAATTGTGTTCTGTTTCAGCACAAAGTTCACAAGATTATTGATCTTTTCTGTAGTTATACAAGTGACTTGAATTAACCACTCTCTGTTGGAATACATGCCTCCGGTAAGAGTGTCTGTAAAACGATTTATTTTCGTATTTTTTCTCGTATTAAATTCATACATGCATTTTAAAATCCCATTTCTGTGATTTACTCTTATAGTTTCAAAGTCACCAAATTTTTCATGTGTTCGTGATTGCTGCAGCATTTGTTCATTATCATGGAGTAGCTCGACTTGCCAGTTACAGATTATCAGATGGAGATTGTCGTCCACCGGATGATTTTCTCAAAAATTATGATCTCTACATACCATTGGATATATTAACAAAAATTGTTGATACATCTGATCAGAAATAACCCACCCATTCACCCACTCCACTCCAACCTACCCCCTATAAAAAGAATTTTATTCCTCAAAATTATGCATTTGTTTTTCCATTCTTTACATAAAACCAGAGGGAGAGAGACAGAGAGAGAGAGTGAGTACAACGTCATCAATTCATTCCTTTGTGTATATATCACGAGAAACAATGTCAAATAAATCACATTTACCGAAACTTCTTTCACTTTTGTTAAACGAGAATTTCGGCGTTATTATTATTATTTTTTAAGATGAGTAAAAATTGGATTCCTTTCCTATTCACAGTGTTCTTTTTTCAGTGAAAAATGTCAAAATATTTTCAGATTTAAATCGTGAAAGCAATTCTGATCTGTGATCGATGATTGTGATGTGTATATATATATATACCTCTTTTTTTTAAATGAAACAATTTATTCTATTTAACTCAGGACTTTTATTCAGTAAATCGCTCTATTATTATTGTTATTACTTATATTAAATCAATACTGTCATATATTCAATAAATAAATACGACTGCTAATACTATTTTTTTAATATTGATTTTCTGTTTTGTTTTAAAGTTAGTTGAAGAATTCATTTGTGTACACGTACATACGTATATGTTTGTTTATTTGTTTGTATGTGTGTATGTATGCTTCATATTGTTTTATAAAAGGTCTGTTGAGAAAGTTTCATGTATATTGAACAGGTTAACATGTAAGGTAATTTTATTCACATGTTCATTTTGTGTACAAAAATCTTATTTACAGGGATGTTGCTCTTCTTTAAAGCATTTATGCTTTAGTGTATCTATCTGAATATCTAATTAAGTGAGATGATGGAACGATTCAGCGCTCTATTTTTCGTAAACAGATATGGAGTTTTGTTCCTATCCAGTATAAACGTTCCCTAGTGAAATGTCTGTTCTTAAGAGCAAGCAAAATATGCGCGAGTGACACATTGATGGATGAGCTTCGACATATACATTCAGTTTTATTATTAGCTAATGGTTATCCAGAAAACTTCATCAATTGTCACGGTAAGGATAGACCACATCTTGAAAAGACAGCTTCTGTACCAAAGAAAACTATCTTTATTAACCTGCCATTCAAGGGCGATCAGATTATGTAGTTGACAGCTGAAAGACTTCGGTCAGCCATCAAACGTACATTCTACGCCACCAAATGTCTTTTTCTCATTTGCCGAACATTTTCGATCCCTGTACCTACGATTAAAGGATGAAATTCTGTGGACTCTACTTCAAACTGTATCTACAAGTTCACCTGCAGCTGCGGTGACACCTACATGGGTAGAACTAACAGAATGTTCCAATGTCGTCTAAAAGAACATGTTCCAAAATGACTACTAAATCATATCGAAAACCCTAACGCGATTAATCTTAATAGAAATCCAGCATCATCCATTGCAAAACACTTATTAATGTCTGGTCACAAAATCAATATTAATGACTGTTTCACAATTATTTCACATAACTCTAATTCAAGGTTGGTTTTTGAAGGTGATGGAAGCACTTTGGATTAATCACATACAGCCTAAACTGTGTATACAAAAATCAATAGGCTTCAATCTTCGCCTACCCTGGACTACATGACCCATTTAAATGTGATTGGTCATTAGTATGTACTTTTGTTTTTTATATAACTGAGTAATTGTCATGATCTTTATTTAATTATTGTTAACCATGTTAGTTGTAAAGTGGTTGTAAAGAAACTACGAAATGATATAATCTCGCGAAATTTGTCTTCTTAATGCCTTATTCAAGTTTTTCTTCTTGTTCAATAATTCATTTAGAAAACAGAAAGATTAAGCGAAGAAACATTTACTTTTCAACTAAATCCTCATTTGTTTATTAACAATTCTCTAATGACTTATACACATAATCGTATAATTTAATTACATTGACTATCTTGTTTACTACTCTTGCTGCCTACATGCTTTGCATTGATAATTAATCTTATGCTCACTAATGACTACCTCCATATCCAGAAAGTTACCTAGATATTCTACTGAGATGTTGTAACCAACGGGGTTCACCAAGTTAGGTAAGAGAACATTTACTCACCTGTAACACTGGCTGGCAATTGCGATACATACCATAGAAGTTGGAATTAACAGGCCATTTGGATTGGTCTCCAGTTTCTAAATGGTCTACACGCCCACCTTGTAACCTGATGAAGGGTCCTCAACGACGACGAAACAGCTAGCTGTTCAGCAATCCCTGCTTTCCCAAATGTTCTGTAGTTGATATCAGCTGATGATAAATTATTATTATTATTATCATCATTGTTACCTTTAGTTTCTAGAGGAACATAGGGCTTCAACCGCATATCTTCATTGCGTTCGGTTCTCTGACAACGTTTTCATCTGGCTCCACGTTTGCCTTGGCGCACTTTTCGATTACTACGCCATATTCGCTCAATTACATAAAACTCTTATTTCTCCGGCGCCTCTTGCCAAGAAGTTGTGTAACTTATTATAATTATCTGACTTTCGAACACTGAATCTGTAGATATAATTTTTGTTGACTGATAATACCTATAACTATCTGTTTGATATATTGTGGATGTTTAACACCATCTAATATCTATAATTGTATATATTGTTGGACTTACTCAATCTGACCCAAGTCAGTGAGTCTATGATTTTGATATCATTTTGTTAACTGTTTTTTTTCTTTCGTATATGATACTACTGCTACGGCTTTTTATTGTCCTTGTTGCTACCCTTCTTCTTGTAAATGGTTTTTTTTCATTTTGCTGGTGTTGTCCTAACTGCTTTATTCCTTGTTCTCTTGTGCTAAGGGGAGCAATCCAAAAAGTCGCTCCTCTGTGTAAACTATGCATGCATTAATGTAACAACTCCCTCCTCAGACGTGAGACTAACAACCCCACCCTGTAAACAAAGTTGCTACACAAAAACTTCAGCATGATGAGTATCCTTACAACAAAAGAAAAAGCTCATGATAAAACCTGCAAACAATTAAATCTCTGCAAGCCAACACTTGATAAGGTTAACTTTGTCTGAGAAATTTCTATCGCATCACATACATAAGTAGAGGAATTCTTTTTATATTTTACTAAATTTCTATTTATATACATACCGTGATCATGCTTAAATACTAATCTCCATTATTTTATCTCTAATCAACTAAAGGATTATGTTAAAATTGAAATAATAAAAGTATCGACTTTCATTATTCAGGTCAAATGTAGTTGATAAGATATTGATTGACGAAATAAAATGGATCAATTTTATCCTGCTTGATGTATAGTTATTGATTTTTTCAGGTTATTCTAAGCATAGGTAACAAGTGTTTTTGTTTCAGTGGGAACCTAACATCACACCCTTAAATACGGATTACTTTTAACTTTCTTTTAAAAAAACCCTAACGATAACAATGAAAAAATAAGGTATTTGCATAAATGTATGAATGGGTTGCCAGTTGACTTCAATGTTCATCTAACTTAGTTGTCCATTAGATTTGAGATTGATTTATTAGAACATTCATCCCTTTCTCATGTATTAATAATTATTTTTATTCTCTTAGGTTCCTAACGGAAAATAGGGCTTCAACAATACATCTCCATTTCATCCTGTTCTCTGCAGTCTTTTCTAGCCGGCTACACGGTTGACTTTAAGCTGTCATCTTCTCCTCCTCCATGTCACTCTCGGACACGCAACTCATCGTCTCCCACTCGACAGCTTGCATTACACATGTTGTTAATCAACGGTTTTCTTATCGTATATCCAATCCATCCTAGTCTTGTCTTTTCTGCTTCTTCTCCAAACTTACTGGATTTTACCTCTAGATCTTCAAGTTTGTGCGAGAGTAAACACAAATCATCCGTGAAGTCTAAATCTTCTAGAGTCCTATCGACTGAAAGTATTCCTGTTTTATCGCTCCCCACACGCCTTAAGCATGATCCGATTCGCCACACAATCAAGAATGTTATCAGTTACAGTAGGTGTAGCTTTGTCCTACTATTGTTCTAAATTGAAAAGGGCATTGTTGAGTTTCTCCCTTTGTGGATCACTTGAGACGTGTGTCACAATCTCATATGGCTGTTGAATTAGGTTCATGAAGATTAGAGGCATTACACTCCGTAGTGTTGAAGCAGTCATTAACCTATTTTGCGGTCAACGCTATTGAAGGCGTTTTCAAAGTGGACATAGTTGAGGTAATTAGTTAATTTGATAAGGTTAAAATTGCCATTGAGTGAGAATAAAGGTAGCTGATTGTGAATTTAACAAGTGTGAAGGGGTGTGTGAAAATGTACAAAAGGAATATATGAGAGTGATAATAGTGTATTAATTATTAAAGCAAAAGCAGGCTAAAAAGAAAATTAAAAAAGGAAAAGAAAAAGGAAAAATCAAAAAATTGTTTTTACAGGGAACGACTACTGAAGAGGTTAAGACTAAAGCAGAATAAGAGACTGGACAAGCTTTTTCTGTATACAAAGTTCGGGGTTGTATTGACGAATTACCGGCACCTCCGCCATACACAAAAGCCGAAACCTGACGCCCTTTGTACCATTTGACCTCACCTTGTTGATGATCGTGAAAGACAACTCTGATGGAGCTGCGTGGTTTGAGTTCACCAAATGTTCGAGAATTGAGCTAGTAATTGTCTTGTATTGTCCCTTTGCTAACCATGCCGGATAATGTTCAGAGATGCGTTTAGAAAGTGTGCACCTTGTGTGGCCAATATAAATAGCGCCACACGACCAAGTGAATTTATAAACACACTTTGAGTTGGCCCAAAGCAGCAGTCTATCCTTCACACATCCGTTGATCATTTGTCGGCTGTAGACATTGATACGTAGCTCAGCCATAAGGAAGGCTTTCCTCAATGATCTGCATAAGCGATTCTTCAGGATCTCAGCCGTGGTATCACCTTTAAATTCATTGCTCATAAATACCAGTTTCTTCTGGGTTTTTACAGGCTTTTCCCGTAACTCCATGTTTTTCTCGATAAATCTTGGAGGATATCCATTCT